ATCCAGTAATTACAGCTCATACAAGACATCAACATTATTACTCGTCAAACCACTGTATATAATAATACCACAAAGCACTTCAAAGAGGCAACTCACATTTCAAGGGAAAAATAAAAACTCATGGATTATGCATTAGGAAGGACTTATTCAACCTTCCAAAGCAGCTGGGGCTCGGTTCACAGTGTCTGGAGCGGGACCCAAACTTGATAATCAAGATTTATGTTGGTGTAATTTGAAAATAAATTTTACATGATTGTTAAAAATGAGCAGGCCACTGGTTTTGGGTATTTTTCACCAGCTGTAAATGCATTTGTATTCACAAACGCAGGGCCTGTTTCCCTCACAACAATAGAATATTTGCAGCAGCCGAGTGCGAGTTTAGACAGCGAGGTTAAATTGCAGCGCCTCGCCAACGGGAGCGTGGGTTTCAGTACGTTTCAATACTGCCCTCTTGTGTCTTGTCTTTGAGATGGAAAAATGTTAAAACTCTGTTTTCTCTATGCTCCTTCATTAAAAACTATTTTTCTTCTCCCCATTGCATCAAATTACAATCAAGTTGCACACCAAAAGCAGACTAGTTCATTAACATGAAGGGTAAATGTTTACACTTCCTTTTCTTATACCCTGTTTTGAAAAGAAAAAAATGAATTGCAGGGAAATTTTGTCACAGAAACACAAGAACAAATAGCATAGCGTAGCACAGATGAGCAACTTTAAGAAACTATAAAGCTACATGCGTTCAAGAGCTGCCACAAACAAGGTCGCAATTAAAAAAATGTATGGAAATAGCTCTGGAGAGAATGGGATTAATTGGTGGGTTTGGTGTTTAGACAGTGTTAGCAGCATGAAAAACACAATAGGATAAACAAAGCAGATAAAAGTCTAGCAGATGTAATAAATGTGCACCAGTGTTTAAAGTAAAATATATCTGAGGTCAAGTCAAAGTACTAAATCTGAGCAGCATCCATCACATTTATTGTGCAGATTCTATTCTGTCCACTGTCTTGTTTTCACTGTTATCATTTTATAACTGCCTATTTCCTCCCAAATCCTGTAGGTTTTTGAGGGATGCTACCAAATATATCTCGTACAGCAACGGGATATTTTTAGGACCTCTCCTAACTTTTAGCTCCCTGGCCCTGCCACAGAAATAGCAGCTTAGGCTGAAAGTACACGACGCTCACTGTAACTCCAAATTCTTTACACGAGATAATACCTTTTAGGCAGTAACTCAGCGCCTGCTCGCTTTTTGACCGTGCAAGCTGTGGCACTGGAAGGTTCTTTTGGCACATTACGAAACTACTCCTTAACTTTAAGAGTAGAACAGAGCGTCTCTATTTCTTTCATTTTAGGTGTCTGCACTAAAAAAGAAATTGTCGCTGGCACTCTTACACAAACCCAGAGAATTCACCCTGAACAGCAATATCCTCTTTTTACTCTGTGGACTAGAGTTTGTCCAAGATAGAATTCTCTTTTTATTTTCTCTGTGGATGTTGTTCAAAGATGGTGAAGCAAGATAGGAGAGCATTATTACACCAAGAAAGATGGCGTGTATGCAGGAATATTATGTCAGTTTTTACATTTTTTTTCTTACGTCTACTGTACGGCATATATTAATTGAACTGGCAGCATTATCCATGTCTGTGTCAAATCTGACAGGCAATGCAATATTAAGCACAGCTATACTATGGGGCTACATCTTTAATAATGCCGTGACCTACTTCCCGGCTGGAAAGTCAACAGTTTCATCATCACTAAATGTCGCCAACCTTCCCTAATGTCACTAACATGTCAGCCTTTTTAATTAGTCATGGAGAGTGTCTGTCCCATTTATCTCAACATGCTTTAATTGAGTTTGAAGCCTCCAACCCCCATCTGCATTCACGTCCCCGTTCGGCAGCGCTTTGCCCAGCTGGAACCAGGCTGTGTGGAAATACAGCGGGAATTAAGGAGTGAGCCGCGAGATAAATATTATATAGAGTCTATATAGGATTAGACATTCTGCTGCGTTCAGTTAATACCGAGTTAGACCTTTCAGTCAGTTTAATAGCAGCCATGTTTGTTTCCCCACTAAAATAGTAATACAGTGATATTTAAATGCGTATAAAATGGGGAAAATACATCCAGAAATTTAGACAAATAACACTAGAGAAGAGTAGGAATGCTGGTCCAGATAAACCATTTATTTAGACTGGTCACAGTAAACCAGAATCCAGTGTATTGACCAACAATGACACCCTGTGGCTATTTGGGATTACTGCAGGAAAATTCAGATTCCTCCAACTGGACCACTGTTATCTAAAGTGGAGCATAAATGACACACTCAATTTAGAGCTGATGACCCAAACATGTGGGATGTAATTTAACACCATCAAATAGCTTGTTGATGAAATGTATAGATTTTGTAGCCTCGGACAAGCAGTCGACCCCCAACAAAAAATAAACAGAACAAACAGAAGCATTTCCCAGATGGACTCCATGATGCTGAGATGAAGTATTTTTTTTTATGTCTTTGGCTGTTTGGAGTCGCTGTCATGCTGAAGAAAGAGTTCTGGACTGACCAGGCGCCTCCCTGACGGTATTGCATCATGGATAAGATTCTGGCTGTACTTCTCAGCACTGCCAAGAGCAGTAGTTCTGACCAAATCCCAAAGCCCGACCTACAGCCTCCATCACGCTTGTAGCTGGCAGACACTCCTCATAGTCCTCTCCAGCCCCTTTGAAGAGAACCAACTGACTTTTGAAATGAATCCATTTCATTTTTCTGCACCCAAGTTCTCGTGTTTCCATTCAGAAGTGAGTCATTGTCCTGTTTTCACAAGTTTTCCAAAAACACTATTTCTGATCAGACGCCTCTGGACTGTGGATGGGCGTACCAGGGTTAGACTGGTTTCTGCCAGTTCTGGGCTGCTGGTGCTTAACTTTGCCTATGTGCTTCTGTGGAGGAGCTTTGGCAGCACATCTGGAAACACTTGTGTGCTGCCAAATTTCTGCCCGTGAGAGACCTTCCTGATGCAAAACAGTATCCCTCATCCGCTTTTATTCCCCCAACGTAGCTGCTTTTGTTTTAGCATATGCACCTGTTTGGTTTAGTTATTTAAGCATTCACTGGGCTTTATGTCGTTTATTTTTTTCTTTCTTGTGGTCTGTTACTTTCTCTGTAGGCATACAGGCATGTAACTGGAATATTACAGTATTTGCAAAACAGATATTTGGGAATCTAATAATTGATATTTCCTTTTAAGGCTAAGAATGAGACGCAGCCAAACAGTGTGTCACACAGATGAGTGCAGCTATGACAATACATTTACTGCCCCAGATTACCAACAATGCTGCAGCCTAAAGCAGTATATGGGATCCTAAACACACGTACTGGACACACTGATAAACTTTGACTTCTGTTGAAATCAGTCACAGTTTCATTTTTTTTACAGCTACCCTAAGCGAAAACATATATATGCCTCCCTATGTTTACATTTTAATCACTATTTGAACAAGGCAAAAGGTCAGTTTGAGTAATTTTCTGTTACATAAAGTCAACAAAGTTCAGCTTAACCGTACCTACAGTTGTTCTCCACAAGCACAAGTTTTCACTGTGGACATTAAAAAGATGAAAATAATAACTTTCCTTCCTTCATAGGTCAGCAGAGATAAAAGTATTTGTATTCATCACTTAAGCAGAAGCACCATTACAGCAGTCTAAAAGTACTCCATTACAATTAAAAGTCCGACATGAAAAGTAACTAAAAGTACCTGCGTATTAGCAGCGAAATGTCTGACAACTTGTTATAAATGACACTGATAGATTATTAATACTGAAGCATCAGTGTGTCAGCAGCACATTACAGTTATAGCTGCTACAGGCTTAAAATACTACATGTAAATCTGAGGGCTTGTGTGCTGATTAATGGGACAGAAAAGGATTTGAAATAAACAAAATTCTGATCAGAATTTTTTTGATGACATATTTACTATCACTGTCTTTCACTCTACTGTCATTGTGTAATGTATATATATACACATATCTATCTATCTATCTATCTATCTATCTATCTATCTATCTATCTATCTATCTATCTATCTATCTATCTATCTATCTATCTATCTATTTATTTATTTAT